CTGAAATAAAAGTAAATGATATTAGATTTAAATATGCCTAATATGGTGGTTGAAAATTTGGTGATCCACATTCTCACAACTCAGAAATGAACGTTTGTTAAATTTGTAATGCATGTGAGATGCTCTGAACACGTAATGTCATGGTGATGGGAACTATTTAAATAACATTTCTATTGGGTAGAATTCGCTTCAAGAGGATTACTTTGTGAAAAATGCCCGATTATTGAATCTGGGGTTAGGAAATACCTGTGAAATCAGATTAAATTTTTTATATGTAAATATCCATTGTATTGAGGATGAAATGTCGGTTATCCACATGCCCTCATCTAAGTAATTAATATTTGTGGAATCCGTGTTGCATGTTATGTGTTCGGAACTCGGAATTTCATGATGAGGGAAATTGTAAATTACATATGTTTTGGTTAGCAATAGCTCCAAGAGAATTTTTATTTGAAAAATCCCAATTTCCAAAACTGGCATTAGGGCAACCCTCTGAAATAAAAGTAAATGATATCAGATACAAATATGCCTAATATTGTGGTTGAAAATTTGGTAATCCACATTCTCACATCTCAGAAATGAACATTTGTTAAATCCATCTTACATGTATCATGTTCGGAACACGGAATGTCTTGGTGATGGAAACTATGTAAATTACATATCTATTGTTTAGAATTCGCTCCAACAAAATTTTTGTGTGGAAAATGTCTGATTTTTAAACAGTGTTTGGAAAAACCTGCAAAATCAGAGTAAAGTTCTCTATATGTAAATTTCCCTTGTATTTAGGATGAAAGTTCGGTAAACCACATGCTCTGTACTGAGTCATGAATGTTTGCCGAAACTGTGCTGCATGTACCGTGTTTGGAACTTGGAATTTCTTGATAAGGGAACCTGTAAAATGCATAGGTATTAGTTAGAAATCGCTCTAAGAGGAATTTTCTTTGAAAAATTCCCGATTTTGAAACTGGCATTAGGGAACACTTCTAAAATAATGTAAATTGTGTTAGATTCAAATATTCCTAATATGGTGGTTGAAAGATTGGTAATCCAAATTCTCACAGCTCAGAAATGAACGTTTTTTAAATCAGTCATGCATGAAGCATGCTCGCAACAAGAAATATCATGATGATGTAAAGTATGAAAATAAAATTTCTATTGGTAGAATTCGCTCCAAGAGAATTTTTGTGTGGAAAGTGTGTGGTTTTTAAAACTGGTGTGAGGAACCCAAGCAAAATCATAGAATCGGTTTCTAGATGTAAATATCCATTTTATTGAGGATGGAATTTCAGTAATCCACATGCTCTGTACTCAGTAATGAAAGTTTGCTGAATCCGTGTTGCATGTAGCGTGTTCGGTATTTGGAATTTCATGATGAGGAAAATTGTAAATTACATATGTAATGGTTACAAATCGATTCAAGAGTATTTTTCTTTGAAAAATTCCCGATTTTCAAAACTTGCTGAATGGAACACTTCTGAAATAAAAGTAAACGTTATTAGAATTAATTATGCCTAATTTGGTGGGTGAAAATTTGATAATCCGCATTCTAACACCTCAAAAGTAACTTTGTTAAATACGTCAAGCATGTAGCATGTTAGGAACATGGAATCAAATGGTGATGGGATCTACGTAAATAAAATTTCTATTGGTAGAATTCGTTCCAAGAGAATTTTTGTGTGGAAAGTTTGTGCTTTTTAAAACTGGTGTGAGGAACCCAAGCAAAATCATAGAATCGGTTTCTAGATGTAAATATCCATTTTATTGAGGATGGAATTTCAGTAATCTACATGCTCTCATCTCAGTAATGATCATTTCCGTAAACCATGTTGCATGTAGCATGTTCGGAACTCAGAATTTCATGATGAGAGAAACTGTAAATTACATGTGTTTCAGTTAGAAATCACTCCAAGAGAATTTTTCTTTGAAAACTTCCCAATTTTCATTACTGGCATAAGGGCACACCACTGAAATAAAAGTAAATGATATTAGAATTAGATATGCCTAATTTGGAGGGTGGAATTTTGGTAATCCACATTCTAACAACTCAGAAAATAATGTGTGTTCAATCCATCATGCATGTAGCATGATCTGAACACGGAATGTCATGTCGATGGAAAGTATGTGTATAACATGTCTATTGGATAGGATTCGCTCCAAGAGAATTTTTGTGTGAAAATTGCCTGGTTTATGAAACTGGTGTTAGGAGAAACCTTCGAAATCTGACTAAACTTTAGATGTTAATATCCCTTCGATTGAGGATGAAAGTTTTGTAATCCACATGCTCTCAACTCAGTAATGAATGTTTACTGACC